ACCACACATGGGCCAGGTGGCCCCTTCTCAGGCCAAGGCTGATAGCCCAGGGGCCGGGGGTGTCCCTGGGTCGTAAGGAGTCAACACCCAAGGTAGAAGATGTCACCCGCAGTGCTCTGTGACGGCCACCAAGGGACTGCAGGCCCATCCCGGCCCTCCACCCTGGAACGCCCGCACCCCGGCTTCCTGCCAGGAGCGTGAGCACTAGAGCCAGCCTTTGGCTGCGGCCGGAGGGCTCATTTCTCTTGGGTCTTTGTTGTTTCACTACTGGGGATCGAACCCGGGGCCTCCAACTGAGCTACACCCCCGGCCCTTTCTTATTTTTTTATTTTGGGACAAGGTCTCACTAAGTCACTAGATTGCCCAGGTGTGTACTGTACCGTCCTGACGGGCTAGAGGGCTCCATTTCTCATGAGGAAAATCCATGAACAGTTTCTGAAGAAGATCACAGCTGAGAAACCACCATGGAGAGGAAGGAACTGCCAGGCTCCTTGATAGCCTTGCTCGGCTCTAAAGCGGGACGTGGAGTCCCAGGTGCCAAGGCCTTGGGAGGCACCGAGGCCTGGAACCAGGGGCAACACACTGCTCCCCCTCCCGTCCTGGCCCAGCACCCATGGTCCCCATCCAGCTGCCCCAAGGCTGTCTCTCCTCCCTGCCCCTCTGAGGACCCGGCCACCTGGGAAGTGGGCACAGCCCAGAACCTCGCCCCAGGGTCGCCCCTGTCTCCAGAATGTCCCCCGGCCCATCTGGGATGGCTCTGGGCAGGGAGAAGGGCTGCACTCGCAGCCGGGTGTGAGGGGACCCTCGTTTACCTGCGGGGCGCAAGCAGAAGCTCATGAAGATCAGTTTGGGCTGGGAAACATTATAACTGTGAGTGGGGCCGTGGATATAGCTCAGCGGGGTAAGTGCTTGCCTGGTAAGCCTGAGGTCATGAGTTCGATTCCCGGTACTGGAAAAAAAAAAAAAAAAAAAAGAAGAAGATTGAGAACCGTGAGTGGGAGGCAGGGGTGGAGAGGGAAGAAAAGGGGGGTGGGAACGCGAGAAGAGAGGAGAGTGAGGTGATGGGCCCGAGGAGAGAGGAGAAACTAAACCTGTGCACCCCGCAAAAGTTCGCGTTGGACGGGAACGTGTGCATGCTTTTATTTTCTTCCGTTTGCAATGGAGCCCACCTCGGTAATGCTGAGGGACTGTTTCCCCCGTGGGTGCAGCAGCGCGTGGGCAAGTGCGGCGGGGGACCCGGCCCGAATGTGCGAGGGGCCCCTGCAGCTCAGCCGCCTGCCGCCACCACTCTCCATGGCCCCGGGCTCGGCAGGGCAAAGTGAGTGAGTGGCATCTGGGCATCTCTCCAGTGCCAAGGTGCGTGCAGAGGAGGCAGCCCAGCGTCTAGAGGCAGGGACCCCGGCCCCCCCAGCACATGCTGGGCGCAGCTGGATCAGAGCTGGCCGTGACCCCGGCTCCGCACGGCAGGTTCAGCCCTGGGTCTCCCCCACCCCACACGCAGCGTCCCGAGCCGTGTCCAGGGAGACCTTCATGCTCTCGCAATGCTTCACTACAGCCCTGACTTCACTACAAAGGCCGTCTGAGAGAGACGCAGCGTGTTCCCGCCCTCATGGAGCAGCTGATGTCACTGGCTGGTCTGTAGCCACAGCCGGAAGTGCCCCCCCAGTCAGACAGAGGCCCATATCCCACCCCCGGACTTGGTGATTGGTTCTACCACGTGCTGGTGACCAGGCTGGGCCAATCGGAGTCATTCCTTTGTCTCTTTCTGAAGCTACTGATGGTCAAGGAGGTCACTTTGCAGAGGTGATGTTTCAGGTGAGACCTGAGTGACAAGAAGGAGCCAGTCTTGGGGAGAACTAGGAGTTAGGCTATTGAGGCAGAGGGACAGCAAATGCAAAGGTGTGAAGGCAGGAACAAAGGAGATTCCAGACAGTATTGTCTGAACTCCTGGATCCAACCATGCCTGAAGCTGGAAGTTTTCAGTGACATGAAATAAATGCTTTGTTGTTTGTACTGTATGAGTTTAAATTGGGTCTCCGCAAGTTGCATCTAAAGAAGTGCTGTCGTTTGAAAGAGTGCTGGTATTGTGAAAAGCATTGAGTACAAGTTGGGCGTGGTGGCCCACACCTGTAATTCCAGTGCTATGGGAGGCTAGTGTAGGAGAATTGCAAATTCAAGCCCAGCCTGGGCAACTTAGTGACTTAGCCAAACCCTGTCTCAAAACCACAAACTAAAAAAAAAAAGGGGCTAGAGTGTAGCTCAGAAGGCCCTGGGTTCAACCCCAGTATCAAAATAAGAAATGGAAAGAAAAGAAAAACCTTGAGTGCTGCGATCTGAAGCTGAGGTCTCTGTTGCTCAGGTAGAGGGAATCGAGGGTTTTTAAGCCACGGAGGAATCTTCCTGTCTTTTCCCTCTTACCTCTCTAGGGCCCACCTCTGGAAGGTCCTGTCCCTCCCAGCCCTTGGGTCTCCACGCCCTACCCACACTGAAGGTGGCACTGAAGTCCCTGCCCCAAGTCCTGGCCTCCCCTGCCCCTGCTCTCTGCACACATGGCTCCTCTTCCCCGCCTCCACCCCCAACTCACTTATCCCAGGCAGCACCCCTGACATCCCTTCCTGTCCTGACCTTCCAGCAATCCCGTCCCTGAGCCCTGGGCTCCCACTGCATCCCCCATGGTGAGCCGAAGAGCTTGTCACCCCAAAACGTACATTTAGGGTGTCCTGTCCTCTTTCTAGACTGGGAAGGAGCTCATGAGGGCTTCTGTCTGGTTCTAGTTTGAAAACATCCTTCCAAAAATTGTATTGGAACGGAGACCCAGCGGACCCGAGTTAAGAGACCGCAACTTCGGGAGGCCACGAGGCTGGGGGGGATGAACTGTGCCTCAGGAGAGGAGGGGTGGAGACAGAGCACCCTTTGACCTTTCTGTCTCTTCTGTAGCATGGGACCCAGCACTGCCCACTTCTGCCACACGGGGGCACAGCGAGGGACGTGACTCCAAGCAGAGAGCAAGACAGCCAGCTCCTTGATCTTGGACGCCCAGCCTCAGAACTATAAGAAATACATTTCTGTCCTTTATAAATGACCGGGGCTGTGGTATTTTGCTATGGCCTAAGACAGAACCCCAGCATCTGGTGCCTATAGTGCTTGCTAAGCATGCACTAGGTGGGGGGGAAGGGCAGGCAGGGAAGGCAGGGTACCCAGGGCTGAATGAATGAACGAGGCACTGAACCCAGGGTGCCCACAGAGAGCTCTGGCACTGGCTCTGGCTCTGCTGGGGAGGCGCAGGGCTGCTTGGGCCTGGGGAGGTGCTCCCCAGAGAGCGGGTCTCAGGGGTTCTATGGAAGGCTGGCCCTCACCCCCAGGAGAGGACCTGGTCTGGGAGGCGTCCCTGAGTCCATTACTCAGGCAGCGAGAGCTACCATCCAACTAGACACACCCCACACAGGAGTTTTCTATCAGAGAACACCCCAAGGAAACACGCACCCCAAAGGAGAAAGCATTTGGTAAAGCTGGAAGACACAAAAGCATTAAAGACAACGATGAAGGCTGCAAGGACTTTGGGAAGTGCTTCCACAAAATGAGCAGAAATGGACAGGTGGGTTTCCCAGGGCCAGGTGCGGCTCTGTGGGTGTGGAGAGCCAAGAACATGAAGAAAGGAGACTGCGCCCGTAGGGAGAGTGCTGAAAATGACCTTCTTATTACTTGTGAGCTTCAGCACACGGAGGCCTCGGTTTCACTGCCCGCTGGAGGCCACGTGAGACGCCGCCCTCAGCCCCTCCCGGCACCCTGCCTCCCTCAGACGCCTCGTGGCCCCCAGCTGGGGCTCCAGGGCTGGGCCAGCCGCAGACAGGCGAAGCCAGAAACACCCCTTTCCCTGCACCTCGAACCTTGGACTGCAGTTGAAATCGGGGCTTCCTGTCGTCGGGCTGGCTTGCTTTCTGCGGGAAGTGTAATCTCTCCAGCGCCGGCTGCGAGAGCATGCAAATCAGCTAACAGTGCCGTCTTGTGGGCTTCTCTGCGTATGCAAAACCTCCTGAAATAAATCCTCATCCCGAGAGCGGGAGGGGCCCCGGGGCAGAGTAGGGAGGCCAGAGTGGAGGATCAAGGGACGGGGCTCTGATTCAAACGGGATGAAACGATGAAACGCCCAGGGCCACGCTTGCCCCCGGTGGTCGGGACTCCCCGGGGCCCACACTGGCCGTCTCATCCCCTATGCTGCCACCAGGGGGCGGCCCACGCTGGCCCCAGGACCCTGTGCTCAATCTGTACATGGGCCCCAAACTCGCTGCCACACCTCCTGTGCTACCGTCGTGTCTGGGGACAAGAAAATGCATCTTCTCTCAAATGTGCTGGTGCAAGAACAAGAGGGACTCGTTAGCTCAGCGGGGCTGCAGCAGCTCCAAACCAGGGTGTGCCCTGCCTGTGTCCCTGAGCCCAAGCGCTAGGCTTAGGAAGGGATGGGAGGAAGGAGGAGGGAAGAGAGGAGGAGAAGGAGAGAAGGAAAGGAGGGAAAGGGGAGAAGAAAGAGAGGGGAAGAAAAAGAAGGGGGAGGGGGAACGGAGAGGCAGAGGGAGGGATAGGAAGAGGGGAGAAGTATGAGGGAAGGAAACAAGCAGGAAAAAAGGAAAGGAAAAAACCAACAAAGGTCACACCTTCTCCACACAAAGTCAGGTACTGCGGACAAACGCTTTAACTTTAAAACGTAGCGCTGCCGCCCCTCCTGCCTTCCCTGTCATCCAGATGTTCCTGGACGTTGCTGGAGGAAGTTTCCTCTGAGAGCCCAGGGTTAGAGCTGCGAGCGCGGCCACAGCGCTGGAAAGTTTTGATAAGCAAATGCGGCTGGTCGCGCACTCTCTCCATTGGCTGCCGCTTCGCCGCCAGATTTTGACACAAATAATCAGATTGAAAATCAGGGAGGGGAACAGAAGAGGAAAAAAAAAACCATAGAGACACACACACAGAGAGAGAGAGAGAGAGAGAGAGAGAGAGAGAGAGAGAAAAGGAGAAGTATCTATTTGTGCGAGGAGTTGCGAAGCTGACAGAGAGGAGAGCAGTCGGTCCGTCCCGTCCGGGGGCCAGGCTTGGAGGTTCCCACCAGGAGGACCCTCGGAGGGCTCAGCAGGGACAGCTCCGGCAGGTGAGTGCGGAGGAGCCCCACTGTACCTTTCTTTTGAAATTTGCATGTCCAAGACTGACTGCAGCCTTTCACAGCGGGATGCCTTCTTTCTTTCCTAGAGGAAGAAGAAAGCGGGCTGGAAAATGTCCTTTTGGGGACATAGCTTTGTCCCTGGGAGAGGCGGTGAGGACAGTCTTGTCTGAGATGCTCTGTGCTTGTGTAGGAACCAGACCTTTGTCAACCTCCATTTCAAGCGGACAAATATTCCCACAAGCACGGAGTCACTCCTGGCAACCTGGCCAGTCCACACGCAGATGTTGAGGGGTTTGAGTTGGGGGTTCCTTGTAGCACAGACCTGCGAGGGTCCCCCGGTCCTAGCCAGCCATCACAGAAGTTTCCTGGACACTTTGTGGGGCAGGTGCCCTCCCCTCCGGAGCCCACTGTAGGGAGAAGCCTAGGCTGCTGACCTCCAGGGGCGGGCATAGGGGCTGCTGTCTGGGGTCTCTTTCCTGTGGGATTGTCCTTAGCCTTTTCTGTTTTTGGAGAAAATAGTTGAGTCCGTGGGCATGGGGGAGAGACTCTCAGTAACAGGGCTTGTTAAGGAGGACGTTGTAGGATCACTGTTGGTTCAAGCCTGAGGACATTTTCAGGGGTAAAGGTCTGCAGCTCTGGAAAACCTTTAGGGACAAATGAGGTACAATCTGCAGCTGTCACTTCAGAAGCCTGTGGAGCTGCACTTGCCCCCCTGCATGCTTCTTAGCAGGCGACGAGTAGGTTTCCAAGCGTGGCAAAGCGGCGACTTCTGAGTGCTACCGGAGCAATTCTGTGGATGAGGAGAGGCGCTCCTAACTTCCCGGCACTCGGTTTTGAGGGTCAGTGTGCTGGTTTCCCTGCAGAAAGTTCTTGGGGAACATGAGAGAGCTGTACCTGATTTAGATTTGTGATCGAATCAGCCAGAAACACCAGGGCTTCCAGAGGGCAGGGTAAGGTGGGCGAGGGCTCGATGAGAAGCTCAGGTAGCCCAGGTCAGACTGGGAAAACAACCCATGCGTGGGAGACCCTGCTGGACACGACAGAATGCTGTCACCCCTTCGTCTGGAGGGAGGCTCTGCATCTGTTCCTTTCTAGGAATTCCAGCCAATGAAAGCTGCTCTGGTCTCTGTGACTGACACAGACAGGAAGTAGTTCAAGTGTTCTTATTCTGATAAAACTTACCATTTTAGCTTTCCTTATTTTTTTTCTTTTTTTTCAGTGCTGGAGATAGAACCCAGGGCCTCACACACGATAGGCCACACTGAGCTACATTCCCAACCCACCCCCCACCCCATCCACACACCTAAACTCCTAGGTTCAAGCAGTTCTCCTGCCTCAGCCTCCCAGGTAGCAGGGACTACAGATGCACGCCACCATGCCTAGCTCATGTTAACCATTTTTAGGTGTGCTGTTAAGTGACAATCAAGCGGAGTGACATTGCTGGCCAGCCACCACCACCTTCCACCCCAAGTTGCCTCATCTTATAAACCTGAAACTTCATACCTATGGACCAATAACTTTTCTTCCTCGCCTCTACCCTTGAATCTATTTCAGCATCTATAACATTTGCCTCTTCGAGGTACTCCTGTGGGGGGTCCCAAATTGTTTGTCCTTCGCGTGGGTGGTTTATTTCACTTAGCGTAATGTCCCGAGGCTCACCATGCTGCACGTGTCTGAATGTCTTTCCTTTCTGAGGCTGCGACATACACCCTGTGGAGGGATGGGCCACAGCTGCTTATCCACTCATCCACGGACAGAGCCACTTGGTGACTCCCACTTCTTGGCGATTGTGAATTGCTCTGCTACGAGCATGGGTGTGCAGATCATTCTTAGAAATCCCGTTCTCACCCGTGGGATGTGTACCCAGAAGTCAGTTCCAGTAGTTTACACATGGAGTCCTCTGCTAAGATGACACGAGTTCATCTCCCCACGACGCCTCTGCGGAGCGGTTTTGTGTGTTTCTCCTGTAGCCTTGCGGCATCTTTAAACATAAAGGAAGTCCAAAGGGTCCCCTGTAGCAGGCCCTGAGAGTCAACCCCATCTTGCCCAACCCTCCTGAAAAGGGAACCCGGGTGACAAGGGTCTTGGTCAAGGTGGGTCAGTCCCTCCCTGAAGATCAACGAATCCTACATGGGATTTTCAAGCAAAAGGGAAGTTTAGAAATCTCTTAGCCTAACCGTCTCTTTTGAGAGATAGGGAAGCCAAACCCAGGTCAGTGGCCAATGTGGTTGCAAGCTCCAGGTCACAAAATCAGTCTCATTCCACGGGTAGCACAACAAGCCGCCCCCTACAGGAAACCCAAGGGCCTGCCGAGCAGGCTCCCCCTGGAAACTGGGGCTCAGGACACTGCCTGGTGTGGGCTGCTGGGCCCCTCCAGGAAGCGCCGACCGAGATTCTGACTCAGGATGGGGAACGCTCTATCGGGATGGAGAGCTATGAAGAGATGTTAGCTCAGGCCTCCTTCCGGAGCCCGATACCATCAGCCCTCTGTTTTATGAAGAAATCCGGAGCTTCTTTCACAATCTCTGCTCTTAGCTCCTTCTTAGAACCATCCGTGTGAATCAAAACCCAGTGGTTGTTAATTAACTACACGATAGGTGATTGGTTCCTGTTTTTTGTTTTTTTTAACTCCGCTAACCGGGGCCAGAAGGAAGTTCGCTGAGTGCATCTGGCTCCCACTGTGGGCTTGGGGGCTTGGCCGTGGGGTTGGCCATGTCACCGTCCTAAGGGCTGGGAATAAACAGCAGGAAGGGAAGAAGAGGGACGGCGGCTCAGGGAGACTACCTTCCTCCCGCAGGGGACCCCAGAACCCTGGGCCCCTTGCTCCCTGTGTGAGTGGAGAGTGAAGGCTGGACAGTTGAGTCAGGCCCGCTGACCTGGGCTCTCCTGCGGTTCAAGCTTTCGCAGGGAAATCTGTTCCTCACCTGTCCCCCACCCCTGACAACCCTGCAGGATCCCGGGTGGAGCCTTAGGGGTCTGGAAAGGGCTCGGGAAGGCGGGGAAGTTGGTTTCTCGGCCTCTGCCCCATCCTCCCGCCTCTCCCGTGTCACAGGCTGCTCCCATCCCTGCTGTGCTACTGCTGGCCAGGACTGACAGACCCGCGTCCCTGGGGTTTCCTGAAGCAAGGGTCTGGAAGAGGAAGGGTTGTGGGGAGCCTGCGGGGGAGGGGAGGCAGGAGAGGAAAGAGGTGTCCCTGGAAGATAAGGTCTCTGCTGCCCGCATCTGACAGAGGAAGGGATTCCAGAGCCCAAGGTCCACGGCGACTTCCAGGGCTCAGAGCATGGAGGGTCTTGAGCTAGTGCCTGGCTCCCTAGGGATCTTGGTGGCCCGGGCGCAGGGCTGGTCTGTCCTTCAGGTGCTCCTGCTATGGGCTGGGCGCTGGGGATGTGACAACACTCGACTTCCTCCTGGCCCCTGCAGGACCTCTCTGGTGGCCAGAGACGCCACCCCCATGGCAGCCTCAGGATCAGCCACAAGGCGCCCCCAGCTGCCACGCGGATCCCCGCTTTTCCATAGTGCACAGGGGCCTCAAGCTCTGCTGTGGGTCAGGAGCCCGCTTAGCAGACGGGGCACCCAGGCTCCACCACAGGTTCATGGCAGGAGGGGCTCCCCCATGACCACAGCCCAAGCTCTTGGTGCCCCCGCAGGTCTCCGGCCTGGGCGCAGGCAGGCCTGGGCCCCTTCTCCCTGGCCGTGGGCCCAGACTCCGAAGGCAGGACTCAGGCTCCCTTTTCTAATCTCCTGCCTCCCAGTCCGCCCCCTCTGGGCCTTATCACCCAGGCCGGTGCTCAGGAGCAGCTGAAATCCCTTTCCCGCCTTGGCGGGGGCCCTATCACCCCACACCCTGTGTGGCACTGACAGGGTGGGGGCGGGGTCTTCCGCACAGCTTGGAGGTGGGGACCCCGGAAGATGCTTTCCAGCTCCTCTTGGGGGCCGAGGTCTGGCCCATCCCGTGCCCTTCCTTCTTGGCCGGTGCTGGGGCTGGGTTCCCTTCCTACTGGGAGAGGGTGGGCTTCGGAGGTGCCGTAACAAGTGTGCACAGGTTGGGTGGCTTAAGAGGCACAGAAAGTCATCTTCTCCCAGCCGTGGGCTCGAAGGGTCAGCAAGGTGGGGCCCTCCTGGGTCTCTCCCCGTCCCTGGTGGTCCTTGGGTTGTGAAAGCCGGGGGCCTCCTCCCTGTGTGTGTGTGCTGGGGTCTGGATTTCCGTCTTCTTATCAGGCCACTGGTTAGACTGGATGCAAAGCCCACCTGACCCGGCGTCACCTCGTCCTGACATGGCTCCATCTCCACTAGGCTCTGCTTCCCATGGGGGAGGGTTGTCCACAGGTTCCAGGCGGACGGGGCCTTCTGGGGACCCGATTAACCCAGCCCAGAGTGTGGCTGATGGCAGGAGGGGGCCCTGCAACACAGGGGAGCCTTGTCCCCTCGTCTATTTGTTTTTGCGGCACTGGGTATGGAACCCAGGGCTGCTCTACCACCGAGCTCGTCTCCCCAGCCCTTTGAAAACCGTTTTTGTCACTCTGCTTGCTCCCACTCATCCCCCCCGCAGGGGACGCGCGCTGAGGATGCCGCGCTCCTTCCTTGTGAAGAGCAAAAAGGCGCACACGTACCACCAACCTCGCACCAAGGAGGAGGACCTGGTCTTGTCTCCTTTCCCGAGCCCTGGTGAGTCGGTGCCCCAGGCCAGCCTCTTGCTGTACCTCCCTGCCTCAGCTTCCTGCCGTGCTTCTCTTCCTAACTTGAAAGCAGGAGCTCATAGATGCTGATTCAATAAATGAATGAGTGGATGAATGATGCCCTTGTCCTCTCTGACCCTGTCCAGTATGGGCATTTAGGGATTGGGGCCAGCACTACTATGGATGTAGGAGTCCTACATGGAGGCCCCACCAACAGCTGTGGCCCAAGGTGCTCCGTGGGGTCCTCCCACATCGCACTCAGCCGGGCAGAGCCCCACGTGGGAGCAGCCAGAAACAGCAGCAGTCGGGCTTCCCTCTGGGCCCCTGGGTCCCTGAGGGCCTCCCAGATGCTGTGGCAGGTAACCCTCGGTTCTTGTCTCCCCCCAGGGGCCAGGGACCAGGTTCTGAGTGGCAGTCCTGCCCTGGGCATGCTGCTCCCAGCCCCACACTCTGACTGGAAAAGTGTGAAGCCGGAGCCAGAGCTGGGGCCAGACCAGAGCTTGCCCAGGACAGTGGTGGTGCCAGGTAGGTGCCCAGCTTGGGACCGGCCCGTGTCCCAGCCCTCACCCAGGCAGACAGGACGATGGGTGCCAGAAGCAGGGCCCTTTGGGATCAGAAGGGACTGACAGGGTCGCAGGTGCCACCTGGGGCCACTCGCTTGTATTCCGTAGTTTGTGATGGGGGGCACATTCATTCCCACAGGAATGGGGTGGGCGGCAGCCTGGGTAAGGATGGTTCTTCCAGGCCGGAAAACTGCAGCGCGATGCAAGGACGCAGCCCTCAGCAGTAGGTGTGTGGGGCCACACTGAAGCCCTCACACAAGGTCACCATAGCAGCGCCGGATGGTGCTGGTGCTGGAGGGGAGGGGACCTGTTTTTAGGTAAATTGCCGAGCGTGTGCCCTTGTCTCCGCAGAGGGGCCCGTGGTGGCCTCCCGACCGCTGGACGGTGACTCGCCGCTCTCCGACTCACCCCCCTTCTACAAGCCCAGCTTCTCCTGGGATGCTCTGGCCTCCTCCTACGGCCATGGCTACCAGCAGGCACCATCCACCATCGAGTCAGCCTTCCTGGAGCGTGCCGTGAGGCTGTACGGCAGCCCCCTGCTGCCCAGCGCCGAGCCGCCCCTGGACTTCAGCGTGCGCTACTCCCCGGGCATGGACACATATCACTGCCTCAAGTGCAGCAAGGTGAGCAGTGGGGCGCCCAGGACCCCCAGTGGAGCGCTGCTCTGTTCACGGCTCAGTGTACCCTGAGCTGTCCACCCTGGCACTTGCTAGGGTGGCAGATTCAGAGCCTTTGTCCTCGTCCTCATCCACTGGACCCTGACCTTGTGCTGGCCCTGGGCTGGGTCGACACCCTTGAGCTCCAGGGACAGATGCAGAGCTAAGGTTCAGAGAGATTAAGTTGCTGGTACAAGACCACATGGTGAGGGGATAGCAGAACCAGCCTTCATACCTGGCTCTGGCCAACTCCAGGCTCTACTCAGCCTGCACATGGGGCAAGGAGGGGCTGTCCCGATCCCTCTTCCGACCCCCACTTTAGACAGGAGGCTGAGCCAGCGCCTTCCCTGGACATGCAGCAAGAGAGCCGAGATAGCGACAATGCAGTGTCCCCTCCCTGTCACCCGTGTGTGGAGCCGGACTTGGGGTGCAAGCTGCCTCCCCGCGCTGGCTCAGGCTCTGCCCCGTCCAGGTCTTCTCCACCCCGCACGGGCTGGAGGTGCACGTCCGCCGCTCGCACAGTGGGACTCGGCCCTTCGCCTGTAACATCTGCGGCAAGACCTTCGGCCACGCCGTCAGCCTGGAGCAGCACACACACGTGCACTCCCAGGTGAGCGCTGGCCCCGGGGCGCCCAGGGCTGGGCTTCTCGGCCGGCCCTGGGAGGTCACAGGCTCAGGGGACCCTCACTCCTCACTTCCCCTGGTCTGGGTCCCTGACACCCACCGCTAGCCCTCTGAGATCTCCAACCCGTGGAGCTGGCTCACGTGTGACTGGAAGAGGCTCTTGCCCCGTGGGACTTGGGGCAGTGACGTGTCCACGGTGCTCAGAAACGTCCTGTGCCCGGGGTGCGCTGGGCAGCTGTCCTCAGGGTTGAGGACCTCGATTCTCTCAGAGCTGGGCTGCAAGTGTTTCTTCACCCCACTTGGGCCTACGTGGCGGGGGTGCCATCGGGGCACCCGAAGGGCTATGGGTCACCAACACCCGGGGAAATGGGAGAGGCTGGGTGGGAAGCGCAGGTGCCCTGTCTCAGGGCTCGCTCCGGGTTCATGGTGAGCAAATGTGCGCCCCTGAACAACCTCTCAGATCAGTCGGCCCGCCAGTCAGTAAACAGCCACTGAGGCTTATGCAGAGTGGGATATACTCTGAAAACTCCCCCAGGGGCCAGTCAGTCCACAAGCCTCAGGCCTGCCTGGAAGCAGGAGCTGGGAGTGGCCCCTGGGTCCTGCTTCTCCGGGCCCTGCCCTCGAGGCCCCCCCAACGGAGTGTCCTCTTCCTCAGGGGATCCCGACCGGGTCCAGCCCCGCGCCCAGCTTGGCTCTCCCAGGCCGCGAGGCCCCACGTGCTCCTGACCCCCCAGGGCCTCGTTTCCTCCGGCAGGAGCGCAGCTTCGAGTGCCGGATGTGTGGCAAAGCTTTCAAGCGCTCGTCTACCCTGTCCACTCACCTCCTCATCCACTCGGACACCCGGCCCTACCCCTGCCAGTTCTGCGGCAAACGCTTCCACCAGAAGTCGGACATGAAGAAGCACACCTACATACACACGGGTGAGCGGCTGCCCGATGCGGGCAGCACACAGGCCCAGGGTGCTGCAGGGGTGGCAGGGCGGGCTCCCAGCGACTGTGTGGACCGTGTGCATGCTGCTGCCCTCCAGCACTGGGCGATGGGAAGACATTCGCTCATCCACTCACTCACCCACTCGCTCAACACTCACTCACCCACTCGCTTACCCACTCACTCACCCACTCACTAACTTACCCACCCACTCGCTCACCACTCACCACTCACTCACCCACTCCCTCACCACTCACTCACCACTCACTCACCACTCGCTCACCCGCCTCTCGCCGTCACCCGAGTCAGTGCCCTTTGATAGGGGGCACTGCGCCAGCTGTGGGCTCAGTGGGGAGACGGGCCGGGCCAGCCCTGCCAGCACCCGAGTGGGAGAGTCCCCAGCAGCACCCTAGCGCAGCGTTGGAGTGCGTGGGAGGGCGCGAGGCACGCTGACCCCCTGTGCTCGCTGCCGCAGGTGAGAAGCCCCACAAGTGCCAGGTGTGCGGCAAGGCCTTCAGCCAGAGCTCCAACCTCATCACGCACAGCCGCAAGCACACGGGCTTTAAGCCCTTCACCTGCGACCTCTGCGCCAAGGGCTTCCAGCGCAAGGTGGACCTGCGGCGGCACCGCGAGAGCCAGCACAGCCTCAAGTGAAGCTGCTGCCCAGCGGGCGTTCGCCGGGGCCGGCCTCAGCGCTGTGGCCCCGGTCTGCTTGAGGTGGCTGGCGCCTGGCGGGAGACTCGAGTTCATTCGGGACGCCCGAAGTTCTCCCATGGCCCAGGACAGGTCCCTGTTTTCCCCCCCGGACCATCGCTGCTCTGGCTGCAAAGCGTGGTGCCCCGCTGGGTCTCTCTGGGCTGCAGTTGCCCACTGATGGGCCCAGTGCCCTCTGAGCCCAGAACGCTGAAATCCCCAGAAGGGCAGGGATGGGCACGACTGCCAGGAGCCTGCTCCTCTCGATCACTGTAAATAAAAATAAAGACAGACATGTTTACCTGTGACAGCTGTTTACCCAGTGCCTCTGGCTCTGAGCAAGGCACTGCCCAAGGCTCTGGGGAAGGGCAGAGTGAGCTTCCTACAGCTGTGGAGGGGCCCGGGACCAGGGCGATGCCTGCACACAGGCAACTGGTGAGTGTTGCAAGGAGCCAGGGACCATGGACCGCGTGACAGTCAGGGCCCTGGGAGGGCTGGGGACGCTGTGGGCTGCAGGCCCAAGCCGCCCCGAGCTGGATCGAGCAGTCAGTGAGCCCGTGGGCCTCTGCAGGCTCCGGGCCATCTGAGTCTGTGGCTTCTTTCTCCACCTGCTCAGAGCATCCTGTCTCCTCTGTCTTTGACCTTCTGTCTCTTCTTACAAGGCCTTTTTCTGGTTTGGTTTAGTTTTTGTTTTCATTTTGGAGAGGGTCTCACTCTGTACTCCACGCTGGTCTTGAACTCGCCGCGATCCTCCCGCCTCAGCCTCAGTGCTAGGACTACAGGTGTGTGCCACCACACATGCTTACAAGGCCTCGTAAGGGGACGTCAGGCCTGTCTGGACAAGCCAGGGAAACCATCCCACCCTCCGGCCCCCAGTGTTGTCCTGTGGAGGGCTGCATGGCGGCCCCCAAAGTGGTCAGCGGCACCCTGAACGTTACTGGCCGTGGAAACGTGACCTGGCAGGTGTGATTAAGCTCAGCCCGGTGCCACCACCTTCCTAGCTGTGCAGCTCTGGGTGGACCCCGACTGCTGCTCTGCACCTCGGTGAACATAACAGCCCCTTCCTGGCGGTTGCTGGAGGATTTCGAAGCCACCGCAGTGAAGCAGCATGCAGTGCCCAGCCTGCGACAGGGCTGTTGAGTCCCAGGTGTCCCTGCTTGGAGTGCTGCGCATCAAACAGGGTGCACTTGAATGCCACCTCCTCCAGGAAGCCCCCTGCCCCTCTCCAAGGCTGGTTTCCCCTCCATCCCCCCCGTCATCACCTCCGGCTCTGGCCCAGCTCCAGGGCTCCGTGTGGCCCCGACACCAGCTGTATCTGATGAAACCCCTGCAGGGGCTGAGCTGGGCCCAAAGCACACACAGCCTTCTGCAAGGGAGGCGTCCCGGTCCTGGCTTACAGCCTGGGCAGCTGAGGCACAGAGAGGCCAGGCTATACACAGCAGGCTTACCCCTCCCCGAGAGAGCAGGGCATTTTCAAAAGACACTCCACTGTCCCTGGACAGTTTCTCTTTAGACCGCTATGTAACCTTGGACTCACAAGCCAGCTCGTTTAAAGAGCGCTTGACCCCGCGGCGACCCCACGAGGCTGTCAGAGTTGGGGTCTGGATCAGATTCTAAGTGGAGGCTGTGGTTTTTGAGCCTCTGTTTACCCTTCTGCCCACTGAGACCCGGTGCTGTTTCCTCCAGCTGTGTTCTCCAGGGTGGACCTGTGGGCCTCTCGGGCTGAGGCTGGTGCCCTGGGCGGTGGCAGATCCTGCCCCTCACTCTGTTGGCCACACAGGCCCTGACCTACACCCCGCGCAGAGGCCCGTCCTGCTCAGCTGAGCTCCCTGCACCGCTGTCAGGTGTGCCAGGCGGTGGGGGATTTGCACAGGCGGGTGGCCTGGCAGCCTGCAGGACAGGGTCTGAAGACAGGGAAAGATGGGACCGGTGTGGAGGCCAGGACATCTGAGCCGTGGGCGATGCCTTGGGCAGGGCCTGCCCTGTCTCCTCCTGGCCAAGGGGCAGTGCCACCTGAGAGGGCAAGGGAATGGTCAGAAGCCACACTTCCAGGGCCAGGAGAAAACACCAAGGTAGGTGCTGGGACTGGGGCAAACTCAGCTCTATGCCTCTTACACACACACACACACACACACACACACACGCATGCACATACACACACGCATATACATGTGCACAGGGATCTGAGCTGCTTTGCATGTTCCTTGTTTGCTAGACAAAACCAAGCCAACTGGGTGTGGTGGTGCACACCTATAATCCCAGCTCTTGGGAGGCTGAGGCAGGAGAAACACTGTAAGTTCCAGGCCAGCCTGGGATACATAGTGAATTTAAGGCCAGCCTGAACTACCTGGTGAGACCCTGTCTTATCAAACCAACAAACCAAGCAAACACCAAGCCAGTGTTAGGGTTTCAGCCGCTGTGCAGCAGGGAAGGAGGGGGTGGGTAGACCTGGTGCCCCCACTGTGGAGAGAGAGCGCAGGCGTGGGCACAGGAACCCGTGTGTGGGCCACAGAGTCCTGACAAGGTGGTGGCCAGGCTGGGCACGCCCGGATGCTGCGGGGACCCCCAGGCTGCGACAGCACAGTCTTCACATGCAGAGCCACAGCTCCTGGGCGGGATGGCACCCCTGGAGGGGACGGCGCCTCGGGGAAGCTCAGACTGGCACCAGCTCATGCAGCAATGCCACCTCCACTGGCCATGGGCACAGTTCTGTGCAGGGCGGGGCCTGCGCTCAGCACCCAGGGGTGGGTGGGACCGAGCTGTGCGGCAGGTATGGGGGACACTGCCACCTGCCGTGACTTGAGGGACATCCACGTCACCCCCTCCCTTTCCCCTGGTGCCCCCTGGGCTGGCATCCCCGCCAGGCAAGTCACATGATGGCCTGAAGGACCCTGTGAAGACTACCTGTCACTTCCAGTTGTCGCATAAGGGGACACCGGCCGAGCGCCCCCCTGAGCCTTTCCCTCTGAGCAGGACTGTGGGGTGTGGGGGGACCTCAGGTGGCACTGAGGAGTCCATCTGAGTGTCCACCTACTCAGCGGTAAGTAACAACAGCGGTGATAACAATTAAATATCCTCGTACTAAAATAGCTGGCCACGTCAGGCAGTGGGATGTAACACCTGAACTGATTTCCAGATAAAATGTCCCATTGGCGGTGGCTCCAGGCTCTGCAGTCCCTCTGAACGCTGGAGCGGGCCAGACCCTGAAGCGTGGCCTGACCCTGCCCTGCCGGCGCTAGGGCCCTGAGGGACAGACTGGAGGTGCGCAGCCGCCCTCCATGGGAATCACCATAAAGGATAAAAAATGTGTGTGTGCCTCAGTTGGTCCCGCATGTCCGAATCCATGCCTGGAAGGCGGTGTAGACAGATGGAGATCAGGCTGGGAACCGGGCAGTCTGGAAACAGGGACACCAGACCCAGACGCTGAAGCCCAGTCCCATGGCCTTCTCCAGGGAGCGGTCCCTGGCTCCCAGGCCTTCACTGTCACTGCCCCGTTAGGCTCCTTCCCGGGGTGCTGGGCTGAGGTCCACCCAGAGGAAGGGGCAAAAGTGGCTGGAAGTCCGGGTTGGCCAGGAGCGTGCTAAGGATAGGGAGAACTGCCGGGCGTGGTGGCGCACGCCTGTAATCCCAGCACTTGGGAGGCTGAGGCTGAGGGATCACTGTGAGTTCACGACCAGCCTGAGCTACAAAGTGAGCTCAAGGCCAGCCTGAACTGCAGAGCGAGACCCTGTCTCAGAAAGAGGAAAAACAAAAAAACAAAAACAGGATAGGGAAGAACTGTGTGTGGGCTGTGCCTGGAGACCGGGGAGGAGGGAGGCTGGCGGCAGCTGAGCCCGGGGGCAGGGATCCTAGCGGGGTGCAGCGTGGCCTTGGAGGCAGAGGGGACCGGGGTTCCGGGAGTGAAGGTGCCTGGGATGGGGTGAGGCAGAGGCAGGAGCAGGGGAGAGGACACCGGAGAGCACACCGGAGAGCACACCGGAGAGCACCGGGCTCTGCCACCCCCGCTACCCTGGGAATGGAGAGCAGCAGCGGGTGTTTCTGGTTATTCCCTCAAAAGTCCTTTCGGGACATCTCCGTCCTCTTTCCACCCTGGCGCTTTTGCCTGTGGGGTTCCTGCCACCTGAGAGCCCTCTCAGCTGTGAGTCTCAGCTCAAATCTCCAACGAAAGCGTCTGCTTGCCTCTTGAACCTGTTCTACTCGGGGGCTGAAACTCCACAAAGCAGTTGGTTGGACACGCAGGCCAGCCACAGGGGCTTCTCCGCAGCCTCTTTGTAAAGGCAAAACTCAACCAAAAATGAGCCGAGCACGGTGACACACGTCTGTCATCCCAGCACTCGGGAGGCTGAGGCAGGAGGATTGCAGTGAGCTCAGGGCCAGCCTGAGCTACATAATGAGTACAAGGCCTGGACTACATAGCAAGACTCTGTCTCAGACAAGCATGAAAAAATCCACAAGTACCAACCCCTCTCCCCCAAACAAATGGACAACAACAACAAAGTACTTGCGAGGAGGTTGGGTAAGTGATGGATGGTTCATTCTTTCAAAGAGTTCTAAATTTTTATAACCTCAGTAATACAGCCTTGAATACAAAAGCAAAGATGGAATCAAATAGGGGTTGGGGATATAGCTCAGTGGCACAAGCGCCTACCTGGCAGGTGCAAGGTCCTGAGTTCGAATCCTGGTACCAAAAAAAAAATCAAATAGATAACAAGAAACAGGGAGATAGGCCCTTTGCGAAAGAGCGAGGAACCAAGAGAGGGAGCAAAGAGCGAAGGGGAAGGAGACCTCGAAAGAACTGTTACCTCCATGTACCATCTCCTTACGAAGAGTGCTCTCACTGTGAGCTGCAAACACCTCCCAATAAAAACAAAAATAAAACGAAATGGACCGAATCTACAGGGAGAAATGGACCTCGATATTCATAGAGGGAAGCTACACACCCCTTCCTCTTAGTAACTGAAAAAACAGGCTATCTTATTAAGAGTATAGACTTGAACAAGGTAAGTGAGAACCGCGGCCTAGGACCTTACATCTAATTGTCCGTCGGTCCTGCTTGTCCTCAGGGGGATATTTATAGCAATATATTGCCTACGTTCTCTTTTTAAAAAAAAAATCTCTGGATTATATTTTATGTGACTTCTGAATCAGTACGCGTCCACGTTCACAGTGCAGAACGATGCGCTGCTCCCGCAGACCCGGTGCATGTGTAGAACACGTCTCGATTCTCCCTACTTCCCCTTTCGTCCTCCTCTGAGTAATTTAGAGATGGTGTAAACCGCACAGGCGATGTGCTGCG